GTCGGGGAGGATGCTCCCAGGGTTACAGTTTTTAGGGCTGTTGAGAACAAGTGTTCGCCCTATGCGCCTGCCTGAGGTTGCTTTTTATTCTTAGAAACGTTAATCTCAGGGGGATGATCTTTGCCCTCCTTTGTTACCTACTCTCTGGTGATAGAGTGGAAGTGCTGTTGCCTATTTGCACAGAAACAAGGTGTGTGGAAAAAGCTGTGGGAGGCCGTTTTCCGCCGGTAATGGACCTTTCCCAGCTTTAGGAGGCTCAGTGGGTCTCCCCGTATCCGCTTCTCCTCTGTCCTCTTTCCTTCTTATTTGTCCTTAGCTTTATTTGTGCTTTTATGTGTTGGTTTTTTTTAATTTGCGGTTTAAATTCTAGTTCTGCAAAAGTTAATGTGGATCTTGTACCTCTTCTGAAAGTGCTCATACCTGCTCATAAAGGAAGTTAGGTGGTCAGTCCGTCTGTAGACACGGAACAGCACCGTCACCTGCATTTCACTGTCACGTAATGACACAATGCCTTATCCTTCTAGGAAAGCCATGTGGGCCGCCCGACATCATGAATGGCAACTTTGACTACACGACCAACCTCCTGTTTGGGGCGACGATAAACTTCACCTGTAACGTCGGGTAAGCCGAGGCTGGGAGAAAGCACCCGGGGAGACTCAGAGGCTTTCAGTTGCTGGGAGATGTTTCCTTGGCAGGTGCAGGCATGGTGAGAGCACGGAGTTGTGGGGGAGCTTGTTTCATCTGTATTATCTATATTATGCATACGCTCATGTATTACATTTCTTTAGGTGTTGAGAAAATGGTATGTTTTTAGGAGGGCTAGCTGGTTTTCCTCTAGGGTTCAGCTCTTCCTGTACAACTTTCTGAATTTCCCAAGGTGTTTTTTTTTGACTTTGTTTCAAAGAGATTCAACGTTTTCTCTTCTTAGGTACCGCTTAGTTGGGGAGCCGTCTGCACAATGTGTACTTAATGGCAACGAAGTGTCTTGGAGCAAGATTCCAGTCTGTGAAAGTAAGCAGATCTTAAACGTCCTGGGTCCATCTCTTCCTCGCGCTATTACAATATATCTGGTAGTCTGGGGAGTGGAAGGTGGATGATCTCTGTTTGGCACCCAGTGCAAATTACGTTGGCCCTTAATGAGACCAGCTCCTTATGCCTCCCCCAAACGAGCATTCTTGGTGGAGCTGGGAATGAAAATTAAATGCTGAGGAGGATCTGTGGATGTTGGCAGCAGCTCTGTAGTCAGATTTAAAGGTGCATTCAAGATTTTAGGATGAGGTGATCGCTTTAGGGCTGCTTTCCTGTTTTTTCTTTAGCATTTCTTGTTGGTTTTTTTTTTTTTTTGGTTTGGTCTGTTGGTGGTTTGGTTTTTTTTTAGTTAGACCTCAGTTTCATGCTTGATGGAAATGTTCTTGCATTTTCTTGCTTTCCCCTGCAGTTATTCCCTGTTTACCACCTCCTGCGATCGAGAATGGGCATGTCACCAGCAGATACAGAGACTTTCTCTTTGGCATGGCTGTCACCTACAGCTGTGACAGAGGCTTTGCTCTTATTGGAGATGCCACGATTCACTGCACGACGGATGATGACCTCGAGGGAGTATGGAGTGGTCCAGCCCCTGAATGCAAAGGTAAATGCTTTCTTTATTTATTCTTTTGAATTTCTTGTTCCTCTCCCGATCTGTACTTTCCTGATGGACTGCCAGACATGAGAAGTTTGATTTGATTTTTAAAGGATTCCCAGAAAACTTAATGCAGTGATCTTGCAAGTCGTGGTCAGAGGCAGGGCTTGGTTTAATGGATTCTTCAGCTCACAGAAAGATTCCCTCTCCCTGCCTTAGCCCAGGGCTTTCTGCAAATAAAAACTGAAGCTCTAGTGTGTGCAGATTGTTAATGACATCTCTGTACTTGCACTTCACTGGGGACCCACCCCTGGATGCCAGTTCTCTTAGTCAGCTTCTCATGTAATGCCTCTGGTGTCACTGCAGGGCTTTTCCTTCCTGTAATAAATATTCTTGTTGTTTTATCCTCACTTCCAGTGGTCAGCTGTAAAAATCCAGAAGTGAAAAATGGGAGAAGGTTATCTGGCTTCGGCACTGAGCACACCTATAAAAACACAGTGACCTTTGAGTGTAATCCTGGTCATTTACTGAATGGTAGTAGCATAGTTACTTGTGAAGCAGACAATAGCTGGAAGCCACCTCTGCCAACATGTGACCCAAGTGAGTAACAAGCGGATTTATTTCCTTGAGCAGTTGCAGTGAAGTAGGTTTAAGAGCTGTTGATGAGCAGGTCAGCTTCTGAACCTTGTGCACTTGAAAGCCACGCGCTGGCTTGGGTCTTCACCGTGGCAGCCCACGCCAGTCAGATATTTAGACCTGAAGCTATTTATCTGTAAAACAGCAAATGATCCAAAAGTGCACTGAAAGGAGAGACAAATTGGCCTTTTACACCTGGCAGGCTTGCTTCACCAGCTTCCAGACCCACTGGGGAGGTTTTGGCTTCTGAGCTCGGCTGAAGCGAGATCCCGCGGGTTGGGTTGGTGGTCAGCGAAGGAGCCACCCAATCCCCGTCTTTTCTCCAGTTCACCACACTGACACTTGCTGCTGTTTGCTAAATGGGTTGGATACAAACAATATCCCAGACACATTCAAACAGGTTAAAATGTTGTGTGCTCAAAATGTGCAGTTTGCTCTTGTTATCACAGACCCATTGGGTGCCCTTCCCTGACTAACCTTGCTTTTTCTCCTCTTGTTAGTCTACTGTGGCCCCGCTCCACGCTTCCCTTTTGCTGAATTAACAATCGCTGTGGCTGACAGCTTTTTGGCTGGAACCAAGCTGAGGTATCAGTGTAGACCGGGTTACACCGCAGCGCGTGGGAAGTCCTCTGTTGTCATTTGTCTGGATAATACAACTTGGTCTGCAGACCCAGACTTCTGCGTACGTGAGTATCTCTGTTCCTCTCCTCTCTTGACTGACCGTGCGAGTGGTCTGTGCTTGAGACACTGCTCTGAAATTTGGGTCGTGCCCATCTCTGAGTTTGAAGTAATTCCCACGTTGCTTTCTTTTCCTCCAGGACAGCAATGTGCTGCTCCTACCATACAGAACGGGAACGTGATTGCAGACAATTTCCTGTTTGAGAGTGTTGTGATGTTCACCTGTCACCCTGGGTGAGTGGGTCACTGCTTACAAGGGACCGACCAGGGGCTCAGGGGATCATGGGCAGTAACATCCCTCTCTGGTTTCCCAGTGCAAGACTCCAGTAGAACTGTATCTTCTGGCTTCAGTGAGATGAGCATGTGGCAACACACAGGGCCTTGGTACTGCAGTGAACTGCTCTGGTTCGCCTCTTATTAGTGTCTTGGATGTGGCTGGATCCCATTTCATGGCAGGGACAACTTCTTGTTAAGAACTTGCCTGTGGGCAGTGGTGGGGAGGTGGGGGAAGAACCCTTTCTGGTTTTCTTCTGAAAGTACTAAATTTCTCTTTCTTTAGGTATGAACTAAAGGGGTCATCTTCTGCCAAATGTGTGGTATCAGGAGGTGGAGTTGATTGGGACACGGCATCTCCCCGCTGTGAAAGTAAGAGGAAAAAACCCTGCAGAGCTATTAAGAGAATAGTTGGAGCTGCGCTGGTGTAGCTGCCTTTCTGGTGGGCTTGGGCTGCTCTCACTTGTACTGGCTGTAAAATTCAGGATTTCAACACTAACTCATGCTGTGAGGCCTTAGGTGCACTATTCTCCTCCAGTTCAGAAGTTATGGTGACAAATTAGAAAGGAGCAAAGGAAGAGCAAAAATTACAGGAAAAAAAAGTCATCACAGGAGGGAGGGTTTCCTTTTCTAGTTACCAGGAAAAGATGGAGACGATTGGATGTTGGAACTCTCTCCACTCAGTTTGGTGTAAGACTGAAATCAGATGTTACAAGTTTGGTGTATAGCGTTATGTGAAGCTAGAAATGGCCGAATCATTTCTTTTAGCCTGATTAGGCACTTCAGTGGCTTATTTCATGGGGTGAGACCCTGGAGCTGTGTCTAACGGGGCAGTAACTGAGGTCCAGTACCAAGCAAGAAAGCTCAAAGTGTTCTTGTTGCTGGTAAACGTGTGGTGTTTGGCTGTACCCTCCTTCTCCCCACCCAGCTCTTTACCTTTTCAGCTGGGAGAAGTGCTCAGGCACTCTTGCTGATGTTCCTCTGCAGGAGAGCTCCCCGATGACGTTCTCTGCGAAGAGCCCCCCGCCATTGACAACGGCATGCACAACGGCACAAAGGGCACACACTTCGTCCAAGGCTCCACTGTCGTCTATAAATGCAAGGATGGCTTCACCCTCGCTGGAGCAGCCTTCCTGCAGTGTGTCGCAGGAGATCAAGTCCGGGGAGTCTGGAGCGAGCTTGCTCCCGAGTGCAGAGGTGACTCGAGTCTGTCTCGCTGCCTCCTCTCTGTCTTTCTCAAAATGCTTATTTATTCCTCCCTCTGTGAATCCTAAAATTGGATAATTCTGCTAAGGAGTAACCCTTCGATGCTTCCTGAAACAGCTGCAGTTAAATTCTAGTGCTGGAAAAGCCTGATGAGTTTGCAGCTGGGCTCACAGGCTAGTGGAAATGTATCCTGGTAAATACCTCTGGGCTTTAACAGGCGAACGTCCGTGCAGTTGGGCTGGGCAGGGGTCGTGCTCACCGTGTCGCCTGAATTGTCTTCCATGTGCATTGGCTCTGATTTAAGATATTGCCTGTTGTGTAGTTTTATGGATTGCTGTGCTGAAGGAGTGCTGAGTTTCACCTTTTGGCTCGCTTCCTTTCCAGGTGGAGCAAACATGATCATTGTTGGTAAGTAACAGAGACATTTCTGAACCCTCGTACCTACTTTATGTTTTTGTCTCCTGTGTGTTCTGCTTGAGACAGGCTTAAAAGCCTTCTGCTGCAGGCTGCCATCTTTTCTATTGTTGTTGCTTTAAAATCGTGCTGTGAAAAGGGCGGGAGGGGGAGGTGGGAAAGGTAAAGGCAAACTGGGAGGTGAAATACAGTTGAATGTGTTTGGAGAGAAGACTGAAGCTTCTTATTTCTCTCTTGTAGGAATCTTCCCCCTGCTCCTGGCAATGCTGGTTACGGATGTCTAGATGAGGGACCAAGCACAGCGGGGAGGCACCTGTAGACATGTTGGACTTGCTCATGCTGATCCCAGTGCTTTTCCCTCCTGTGAAACCGGCCTTGAAGCAGCGACCACCAGACCTGGGTTACCCAGGAAACCCTCACGCGTTCGGCTGCAGCAGCTGCGCGTCGTGATGGACACGGTAGCTCGTGCGTGGGGCTGGGCTGAGCTGAGGACACTGTCCAGGAGTCAGGGGCAGTTATGCTCATGTTAAGTCACAACAATGCCAAAAACCTTCACGTTGCACTAAAACAGACTCAAGAAAATCGTGCGCTTTGGGTAGCGCTGCGTGTTCAGTCTCTCAGCCCGGCTAAGGTCGAGTTGTGCCTGGTCCTGAGCAGGGTTCGGGGGGTTTGTATGTGTCCTGAGGTGGGAAGTGCTGCTGAGGGGATTAATGGTGAATGTCTTCGTGTGAGTGATACATACTTTAAAAGATCGTTTGACACAAATAGGATGCGTAAGCTGGGTATTATCTGTGAGTACTGAAAACATTGAAAACAACCATGTAAAAGTGCAGTTGTAGCTGTTACATCAAGGGTAGTTCCTTTAAAGAACAGTAATTTTACCGAGGAGAAAAACGTTTAAATGCCTTATTACAGAGAACTACTATTTTGACTCTTCCTGTGTGTCCTAAAGTTAGTTTTAAACTTTGGTTGAAGGTCTCTGCCCTGCACTGCTTTCGTATCCTGTCAAAGCTTTTTTGCAAATAACTTGTGAAAAGACTTTTCCTGTCTCTGCTCTGACTCAACGCTTCTCTCAAAGCACCGAAGCTTTCTGGTGGCTGAAAACCCTGACAGGATCCCAGCTAGATGGGAGCTTGGGGCAGCAGAGCTCATCTGCAGGCAAGGTGCTGCCCGAGCCAAACGCAGAACTTGCAGGTGTCTTGGCAGACGCCACCACACATCAGAAAGTTGCTGCGTGGGAACCTTTTCACTTTCTGCTCAAACGCTGCCTGTCTGGGGCGACTGATGCAGGTCATCACTGTCTGAATTTGCACTTAAAAGGTTTTTTGAGGTGATGCTCTGCACCCCAACCCTGCTGGCTCCCACGGTGGGTCAGCCAGGTGGCAGTTCAGCTGCAGGACCCCTCGGGCTGCTGCGATGTTGGGGAGGTTTTTGGTCCCTCGCTCCACTGGCGGCTGCGCTGACACTGCACCCAAGGTAGGTGCAGATGCACGTTGAGCCAAAGCCTTAATTTATTCTTCTGTGGGGAATGAGCCACAAAGTCCACATCTTTTGTGCACCTTTGTTTTCGTCTTGTGTAACGTGTTGAGGGTAGTTTGTGAGGGTGGGTAGTGGTGAGAGGGAGGTGTGCTGACCCCAGCTTGAGCTGGGCTTTGGCAGCACAGCTCAGAGGATGGGACCTCGTTCACCTTGTCTAAACCAAAGACACAGGCGAAAGCACCCTCGATTAGTTTGGCTGACAGAAAGCCCAAAATGGGGTGTCCGTTGCCTTTCTTGGCTTCACCTCAGCCTCACTGAGTCAGCACTTAGTAACCCCAGGAGGTATGTAGCATCTTGTGACATGAAGTAAAGATTTGAAGGTTTCTGGGAATCCTGTTTAAAAGGGAAGCAAAATTGCGATGGGATTTAAATATGTTAAGCCTGAATCCAGCTTGAGACCCTAGGACTTTTAGCTGCTGGTACAGCAAGTTTCTGAGCTTTGGGGTTTTGTCTGATGCTGAGGTAAATCACCCATCTGTGACCTCGCAGCTGGGAACAAGAAATATTTGAAATGTCTGCTGCACACTTTTTGTTTCTGCTTTTTTACCAGTGCTTTTCTGCTAACAGGGACATGCACCTAATTAAAGGGAAAAACACAAGTAGCCATTTCCGTCAACATATTGGTCTTGTTCCAAATAGACCCACCAAGTTCTCCCTTCCCAGCAGAGCACTGTCCTGTTCTGCTGTCACTGGGGCACCACAAGATACTGTTCTTGGAAGCCAGCCTTGCAGAAAAAGCACGTGCAGATTGATGTTATTTTTATATATCTCTTACTGTAAGCCACCTGAGTGACTAGATGCAAAAAACACCAATGTAAAGCCTTGTGGTTTAATGTTGCGTTCTGTTCTGTTGTTTTAATCCCAGCACAACTGGTGCTACAGCCTAGTCCGGAGTGTTTTTTCTCAAATGACCTGATTTAGGGATCAGCTTGAAAGAATCTCACCACAAGCAAATGGAAGAAACTGTGAATGCTGTGACATAACTTACAGGTGTTGTCACCAAAATTTATCCTTGAAGATAAATGAGCTTATCTACTGTGTTTGTAATTCAGTTGTACATAATTTTACTTTATAATCCAAGCGTAAACAATCAAATGCAATTCCGAAGTATAAATGTTGGATATGTAAATATTGGAAGCTCTTTGTCAATAAAAGGGATAAAAAGACTTGAGTAACATGTCTTACTGCTTGTTTTAGGCTCAGAAGCACCCTCCGCTGTGTGAGGTGGGAAGCTGGAGGTTGCTGCGGCTGCTCCTGTATCAAAAAGTCCCGTCTGTGGATTTTTACTCTTCCAGCCAGCGGGGAGTGATGATGCCGGCTTGGATGAGTCCTAGAGCAGGCAGGGTCAGGTCAGGAGGAATCGGCTAAGAACACCTCTGTGCCTGCACCCACCTCTCTTTTGTAGGTGTATGGGCTACACAGCGGGTCCCATCCTCCCCTGCCAAAAATAGCAGCAGAAGCAGCAAGTGGGACCTGCAGCTTCCCCAGCTGTGCCCACCCTGTGCCGGAGAGCCCGGGGGTTCCTGTTCCCTGGCCCTGGAAAGCCCCACAGCTGCGTGTGGGGGGAACTGGGGTGCACATATATTCCCACAGCCCCCCAGCAGCCGCAGTCTGTGCCAAGGACCGGAGCATGGTGCTCGCCTTCGCCCTCCACCTCCTGGGCAGCTCCGCTTTGCTCCTGGCCACCGCAGCTGGGGCTCGAGGTAAGGAAGCCCTCTTCCCACAGCCCTCCTCTTCTTCATCGCTGCTCCTCTCCTCGCTGATCCTTTTGCTTTTCTCTTTGGAGGCAGGTAGAAGCCCTGGGCTGGTCCCAGGTGGACCTCAGTGTGCTCAGAGAATCACAGAGCCTCTGAGCTCCTCCTCGGATGAAAAAGACCCCTCTGGGCTAGTGCCAGGGCTACCCTGTGCCCTCCAGCGGGCAGGGGAAAGGGAGTTATAACCTTGCTATGGGAGGCTATGGAGAGTCATTTACAACTCATCGAGTTCTTCTAATAAGGGGCTTGACCTACGTATTTAACTGCCAAAGTAAAGCTGGTTATGGATACGGCACCTTACAGCAGCGAGATGAGGAGTTTGTTCCAGTAATAGATTGTGTTTGAACTCTGTCAGGCTGAAACTTGCTGTGATATGTAAATGCATTGAGATGAGGCAGGAGAGTAAAACAGCAAACAAGACTGTGCTATTCGGCCTGTTCAGTCTGAAAACCTGACAGGTGGCCCGAGGTGCTGTCTTGTTTGGGACAGAATAGCCAAAACCTAGAGAAACCCAGCTCTGTCACTGCAGTATGGTTCTGTTTACCCCTCCCTGTCCTAAAAGCGTAAGTGCTGTGACCTGGTTCCTGCGGCAAGGTTTGACAAGTGCTTTGTCACTGTATGGAGAAGACTTCTCCTATACTCTCAATCATGTTAATTATTCACTGGCATCTTAAATATCCTGGACCCCCAGTTCATGCCAGCTGAGGAAGCAGTGGGTCCATCTAGTGCAGAAAGCAGTCCTGCAGCTCCAGGGACACGCAGACCCGCTGCAACTTCCAGCGGGTCCCGGGCTAGACGGACACTGCCAACAGGGCAGCTAGCGCAGGCAGGAACAGCTTGAGAGCCGTGTAGGTAAACAATGTTTTATTTCTCTCCCTTTTTCAGCTATCCTGTGCCCTTTCCCAAGCATCAGGCATGGGAAGAGAGTATCCATGGCTCGCAGTTCCTACAGGACTGGGGACACTGTAAGCTTCGAGTGCAACGCGGGGTACATCTTGCAGGGCTCACGCACGAGCACGTGCCAAGCTGACTTCAGATGGAGCCCACCTCTGCCGGTGTGCAAAAAGGGCAAGTGTCTGGTGTGCGGTGCGAGACAGACACAGGGAAAAGCTCCCTCTTGTGTCCTCTCAAATCCGGTGGGAAAGCAAAGCTGGGATGCACCTGTCTTCCTGGCCTCTCTCCTCAAACCAAGGTGCTGCCAAGCTTGGGTCTGAGAGACAGAAAGAGCTCAGAAGAGATGAGCTGGGGTGGGACACGAGGCAAGCTGCGGCCATGCCCGGCTTGGGCTCCAAGAGGGATGGGGAGAGTCAACCCTGGGGCTGAGCTGCTGCATAGCAGGAGGCTGTAACCTCCCAGCACAGCCAGGAGCTGTCGGCCAGCTGCAGGGATGGCAGAACCTGCTGCCCCAGGGGGATTTCTGGGACTCAGCTTCTGGTCAGGCATGGGACATTTTCGTCTTCCTCCTGGAATGGGAAGTAATCACAACTTGTTGCTCTTGCTGCCTCCATGTACATCTCCTGCCTAATCCCACGACGTGCCTGTGAGTTCTCTTGTTGTGACTGTCATTATTATCAGTAATTTCCTCTGGTCACAATGTCTTTGTAGCCCTGGTGCTGCTGTGTTTTTGTTAACTTTGTCCGGCAAATGGAACAAGGGCTGAGCAGAATTCAAGATATTACTCAGCACAGTCCTAGTAGTGCACAAAATAGCAAACAACTGACCTGCAGGGCAATTTCTTTTTCCTCTCCAGAGGTGACGTGTCCTCGACCACCAAACATCGCCAACGGGCTGCACAGCGGACAGTCCTTGGACAAGTTTTCCCGAGGAGTGACCGTGTACTACGGCTGCCATGAGGGCTACGAGCTGGTTGGGAACGTGTCCATCAACTGCACAGAGACCGGGGTGTGGAGCAGACCCCTGCCCCTCTGCCAGGGTGGGTGGATTCTTCCCTGCCAGGTGTGGGGCTGGCAGAAGGGGTGCTGGGTGTTCTGGTTATAGGAACGGGAGGGGGCTGTGTGTGCAGCATCTGGCCCATGCACTGAAGTTTAAAGGATGCTGTCCATGCTCCCCACAGCAATCGGCTGCGAGACACCTGAGGTGCAGAACGGGAAGGTTTACGAATCACAAAGCACCTTCAAAGCTGGAGAAATTCTTCGCTTTTACTGCGATGCTGGTTACGCTGCAGAGGACACCTACGAGACTCAGTGCCAGCCCGGGGGAACCTGGGATCCACCGCTGCTCGTCTGCGAGAGGGGTGAGTGTGGGTGCGCGCCTCTTCCCTGGGGTAGCCTGGCCTGGTGGGTGCTTTGTGCAGGCAGGAAGAGCTTGTGCAGGCAGAGACCTTCCTGCGATGGGCTTTAGCCCATCAGACAGATCACACCGACTCCCTTCTGCCTCGCACGCTCTTCTCTCACTGAGTTAAGATTTTCTGTCTCCTTCTTGCAGTCCGACCGTGCCCCATGCCTCCAGGGGTCCGCAATGGAAATCACAACGGCCAGGGCAAAGCATTTTTTACCATGGGAACGTCTGTAACGTACACCTGTGATCCCGGCTACTACCTGGTTGGAAACGCCGTCGTGTTTTGCAGAGCATCAGGGAACTGGAGCCAGCCCGGCCCTCGCTGTGAAGGTGAGTCTGTGGTCTGTCCCCTCAGGTGAGAAGCAAATCATGTGGCTCTGAGCGCAGGGGGGTACCTTGATCTTTGCAAACAGATCCTCAGAGAATGTTAATCCCATGTGAAGTGTTGCCCTTCTTTTGTGAAGGTGGGGCTGGGGAGGTTTATATAGATGTCACGTAGGTTTTATTGTTGCAGTTTTAAGAGACTGTGAGTTTCTTGTTTTGTTCCGACTCCTTTTGCACAACGCTTCTATCTATCATCCTTTCCAGCGACCGTCTGCATAAATCCAGATATAGAGAATGGAAGGCAAGTCGATGGTCAAGGGCTTATCTACGCACCTGGGCAAACGGTGACGTTTCAGTGTCACGATGGTTACAGCCTGCAAGGCAGCGCTGAAGTCTTCTGCCAGGAGGATGGCAGCTGGCACCCTCCTGTCCCCAGCTGCAATAGGCTGAACCATTACCAGGAGTTCTCAAACAGGCCTGAATTTTCAGGTAAATCGTGACGTAGCAGCCTTGGGTGCACTACTGTTTTATGTCCCCCAAGTCCATTAAAAAAATGTGGTTAAACCCTGTGAGTGCAAGATTTAAGTATATCCTGAGGTTAAGAGCCTGATCCCCTGGAATCCTTTGGGAAAACATGTTGTATTTGTTTAATAATGGCTATATTAACCAAAAATAAACACTTTTGCAAGGCAAACCAAACACCTTTCCTCACAACAGTGTTCTTTCTGTGCTTGCACCTGGCATGCCTGTCCTGCGTGATTCTCACATCTGTTTTCTTTCCCAATAGGTGGTTGTGGTGCTCCTCCAAGGTTACAGTTTGCTGAGCTAAACGTGGAGCATAAAAATAAGATTGATTTTTCTGTTGGGAAGACTGTGCAATACACTTGCCGGCCTGGATATGCTAAACGCCCAGGAATGTCACCTACTATTACGTGCCTTGAGAGCGGAGAGTGGTCAGAAGCACTAGAGTTCTGTAAAAGTGAATAGCTCCTTGATTTGGTGTCCATTGTTCAAGAAGGAATAGGTGCTAGGTTCTGTCCATGCTGCCAAAAACTTACCGTTATTCTGGTGTTCAAACAGTATGTGACTAGTAAAGCCATGTAACTTTATGCCATTTGAAACCTGTGTTGGGGGTAGCTGGAAATGTGGGCAGGTTACTGGAGTAATAGTTGCATCTGTTGTACTGCGGTATAGATGGGCAGAAGCCTAAAATGAGGGTTTTTTTCTTCCCCCAGGAAAACAATGCAGTCATCCTGGTGAACCTGTGAATGGGAAAATTACTTTCCTAAAAGATCTCCTGTTTGGGTCAACAGTGGTGTACAGCTGTGAGGAAGGGTAAGTCCTGGTTTTGGCTACTGCTTCAAACAGCAAGGAGAGATGTATTAGGTCAGTCTCCCTTTCTTCCTCCTATTCATTCACTCCCAACAAATGGGTTCTATACAGAAGCCACTGCCTAGAGTTCTGTGTCAATATAATAAACAAGGTGTCCACTATCTTACGTTTACACTGTGAAATTGGTCAGGCAGAGCTCGGAAGGGGAACTTCTCCTTCAGGGCCACAGCTTTGCTGTCAGCAGGGCTCATCACACCGCCCGAGGTGGTTGGGAGGAGGTCCTAAATCAAACCAAGGTGACTTGAGATGAACGTTCAATCCTTCTAACACCAGGCACAGGTTAATTGGAGAATCCAGCAGACGATGTGAGATTTCCAGGGGACGTGTTGCGTGGAGCGGCGATGTTCCCATGTGTCAGCGTAAGTAGCTTACAACTCTGGGGCGTTGCATGGATTTGGTAAGTATTTTCCAGCAGAGACTGCCAACTCTTTCCAATCAGAGCTTTCACAGGGAATTTCTCTTCTCTGTGGGCATGAAATATATCAGAAGGTTTTTCTGTCACAAGAAAAAGTTCTGGGAAAAAGTACAAGATTTCAAAGCTTAATGGATTATAGAAAGCAATGTCTCAGCTGGAGCTTTTTCAGCAATACTTCGGTATCCTGTCTCTGACTTAACATCACAAGCACATTAAAATATTAGAATAATACTGCCTTCAGGTTAAGGATTGTTATGGTTAGGCACAGAGCTCAAAGCCAAGGAGAGGGATTTCAGGTACGTTGGTGGAGCTGCTGAATTTAGACGCTTCATTCTGCACCTCTGCAGGTATCCCTTGCGAGCCGCCTCCGGACATTCCCAACGGGAAGCACACAGGCAGGTTGCTGGATGAATTCCACTTCGGCACATCTGTAACATACACCTGCAACCCTGGGTTCCCGCTCCACGGAGAGCCCTCCATCCACTGCACCACCCAGGACGGGAAGAACGGCGTGTGGAGCGCGCCCCCGCCGCGGTGTGGAGGTAGGGCAGCGTGTGCACGCGCAAATACTCGGCTGCGATCATCCTGGCCCTTCTGCTTCATATTCGGAAAGACTAAGGAACCTCCAGACAATCGCACTTCTTGTCCAAGTGCCTGCTAGGGCAGGGTTTGCACAGGCTGATTGGCAGCTGAGACCCGGCTGGAGGATCATCTCCACTGCCTTCAGCACCCCCAGCCTCACCTTTCAGCTTGGGTCTCTCTCAATTTTTGCCATTGCTGGGTGCAGGAATTCCGTCTTCTATGGGAAAATTATTTTCAGACATGCGTCTTAAAAGGGATTGCAACTCTGGAGTGCCGCACGGCTCTGCACGCTGCCTAACTGCCTGTTTTGAGGATGCCTCACTGCCTTTATTTCTTTTGCAGAGGCAGGATGTCCTGTCCCGCAGATTCAAAATGGGAGAGTAGTGTCTCCTAGGACTGCCTACACCCACAAGGACACCGTTGCCTTTGAGTGTGAGCCAGGCTATGCTCTACACGGCCACAGAGTGGTACAATGCCAGCTGAATAACACCTGGGAGCCACCCGTGCCAGTCTGCGAGCAGGGCAAGTGTTCAAACAGCGTTCTGAGCACTAATCTTTCCCCTGCTCTCCCAAATCTGCTTTTCCTTGACTCCTTTAACAACTGGGCTGGTTTATCTTTCCTGGTAGCTGGCTGCAAAGCACCTACCACACTGGCGTTTGCTGAGCTGAAGGAGCCGCACAGCAACCAGACGGTCTTTCCCGTGGGGAGGACGGTGGAATACGTGTGCCGGCCTGGCTACACCCAGCACCCGGGGATGCCACTGACCATCACGTGCCTCCAGAATCGGACATGGTCCACGGCACTGGAGTTCTGTAAAAGTAAGTCTGACAAGTGCTGAAAAACCTCAAGTGGCTTGGCTGGATTTCCACATTTCTCTAGCTTTATAGGTTTCGTTACTTTAAAAGAAGTCTGCTCTCTGCATTAACATCTCTTTTTTTTTTTTTCCTCTAGGGAAACAATGTGCTCACCCAGGTGATCCGGAGAACGGCAGAGCTGATGTCCTCACGGACCTCCTCTTCGGGTCCAAAGTGAATTACTCTTGTGACAAAGGGTGAGTCTTGTGGCTGAATTCAGCTGTCAAGTGAGAATAAAGCAGATTTTCATCTTTAGAGGCTGTTATTTATAAGGGTGGTAAAGAAATCTCAAGCCTCTTAATGGGAATTAATAAATCCTTCTGTGTGACTCCAGGTACAAGTTGGTTGGAGACTCCCAGAGAACATGCGAGGTCTCTGGCACACACGTCTCGTGGAGTGGAGATGCTCCTGTCTGCCAGCGTAAGTAGGCCACCACTAAAGGTCCTTGGAGATGGCTTGCAAGACGAAGTGGCACATCTTTCAACACAAAGATTTTATTGCAGAACATTCCTGAAGTCACTCTATGTGTAAAATCTTCCAGTTTTTGTTTTGGATGCTTCTAAAAACGTTTCTGAAGGTTTTTTTATTTATCCTGGTCCAAACTGGGAAAACCATTAATATTTTAATCTCCCTGTTACTGGAGTAAGTATATCTCCCTGGCCATGTGTAGGAATAGTGTGGCCAGTCTCTCTCTGCTTGTGTTACCTATGGTTAAGGAAAGTGAGGTAAGAACTGTCTCACTGCCTCCAGAGATGGGTCACAAAGAAGCAACTCAGGAGGGAGCAGGTTTTCCTTCCCACATGCAAAATTTTCCACAGAAGGTTTGTCTCCAGATAATCGGGGTCACTGTACAGAGAGATCATCACTGGTGAGACGGGCTCATCCCTGTCGTTTCCCCGCCTGGGAAACGTGTGTCTCCTGCAGACCCTGGATGCTGCTGCAGCGCTGATGCTAAAAACCACCTTGTATTTGCCTGCAGGTATCATCTGTGATTCACCTCCAGACATCGCCTGTGGGAGACACAGAGAGCACTCGATGGACATCTACCTGGACGTGGTCACCTGCACCTGAGAGCCTGGCACTTGCCCTGTCCATATTTCTTATCTGCCTTTCCTTCTCCTTCGCAGAGGTGAGGTGTCCTCCCCCTCCAGGCATCCCCAATGGGAAGCCCAGCAGCCAGCCCTCGGACACCCACGCGCCCGGCTCGGCTGTGCGCTACACCTGCCAGGACGGCTACTCCCTCATCGGGAACGACTCCATCAGCTGCACCACCGAGGGAATGTGGAGCCGGCCCCGGCCCCGATGTGAAGGTGTGTTGGTGTTGGCTGCTTTTATCTTTCTCCAGGTTCACTCTTCCTTCTCTCTCTCGGTCTCATCGGTGCAGACCAAATCTCCAGTGAGAGGCAGAGACCAAAGGTCTCACAGGCAGAGGGAGCTCCATCTGCCCCTGGATTTCCTTTTCTGTCTCCCAGCAAGGACAGGCTCTCAGGAGCGAACGAATAATCATAGAATCATCATAGAATGTCATAGGCTGGAAGGGACCTTAGAGATCATCTCGTCCAGCCTCCCTGTTTTGGGCAGGGATGCCACCTCTTGACTAGACCTGGCAACACATAATGATGTTGTGTGTAAGAATAAGAGTCAGTAATGTTGAGACATGAC